ATATTACTAACAGGAGGGTCGTGCAGTAGTCAGACAGCACTTGTACACACAGTAACAGCAACATGCCTCATGTCTTTACAAGGCAACATGAGAAATGACAGTAATATAATGCGGCATTCATCACGGGAGATAACCCATCTGGCATTTGTAAAAAGCTGTGGGAGTTGTAAAAAGAGCGAGCACTATTTAAGGCAGGCGAGTTAAATGGGTCATGTCACATATTTAGAACAACTGTATGTCAAGCAGATTAGATACAGACGTACCTCAGGAACCTCATCTCCTCATTCCTGGTGTCGTTATCAGTCACTATCTTAGACGTTGTCACACTAACCTCCACACCATCCACCATGAACTTGCGTGTCTTTTTAAGAGTCTTCTTCTGTCGTTTTGACTCCTACCAAAAAGCAGGGTTGCTTTAGAGGATCGAGTAATCAGGGTAGTGTTGATAATGTAATAACTGATGGTGTAATAGTGGCACAGACTGTATTACCTGCAAGGACACAGAGCCCCCTTCTTTGCTCTTAGACAGGAAGCTGGAGATAGACAGATTGAGGTCGAGGCTGTTGCTATCAGCAGCAGAGCTGCTCCCAGAGTCAGAATCCTTCTCCACATCTGGCCTGATCACAGCAGGGCTTCCTTGCTCCATCTTGGCTTCTGAATCCGTTTCGCTCTCTTGGACAGAGACAGCATCTTGGGAAGTGCTCTCATCTGCGTGGGTTGCTTTCTCTTCTTCTTCGTTCACACAGGAATCTTTAGGTGGGACCACTGAATCCTCAGGGGTGTCTTTAACTTCATCACAGATGCCATTTGTAGACTCAGTTGGTACTTGTTCCTTTAGCTCAGCTTCCTCTGTGATCTGGCTCTCTTGTTCAGGCTGCTGTGACTCCTCATGGGCCTCATCCATAGGCTTCTCTTCTGGTTTTGTTTCTATAGGCTCAGCAGATGACTCATCCACACTTAATTTTGTGTCTTCATTTATAAACGTGTGTCTTCCATCTGATTCCATATTCTCAATGTTTACATTTTCATCTGTGCCATTAGCCATGGCTTCCATTGTGTTCTCTGTTAGTTTGGGTTCAGTCGTTTCCTCCTCGGATTCTTTGCTTTCTTTTTCTACCTCTGGCTCATCTCTTGGAATGGATTCTGTTTTTTCTGCATCTTCAGGTTCTGCTTGTGATTCTCTGGATTCTTCTTTACCAGCTTCTTTTTCTTTCTCTTGCTTCCCCTGCTCTGGCTCTTTTTCTTCCTCCATTACCTGGGTAGTTTCATCACCCATTATCCTTTCTTCTGTCTCCTTCTGTTCCTCCTCTGTTTCTGTGACAAGTTCTTGGTTGTCTGTTGTATTTACAGGTTCTTCTGGCTGTGAAACTACTTGCTCAGCAGACGTCTCTTCACCTTGACTCTCTTCTGGTTTAGGCTCTGTGGAGTCATGTGAGATGACATCTTTGCTGGGCTCTACTAGTCCAGATGCCAGGTCTTCATTACTGGCATCAGACACCTCATTTAATTTCTCCTCCTCAGTCTTGTCTACCTCACTTGTTCCAAGTCCTTCATCAGATAACTTATCACTAGTCTGGTCCTCAGCAGGCTCAACTTCCATCTTTTCTTTAACAGCCTCAAGAGTGGAGGGAGTTGATGGAACTTTGTCATCTTCTGAGCTGGCCACACTGACATCAGAAGGTGCTCGCTTGTGCCCGGG